TTCTGTGTCCGGGGACGCGCTGTGGGTTGATCCGGTTTCCCTTCTTCCCTGTTCGCGGGTTCGGGTCTCTCAGGTCGTCCGCAGGGTTATTAGGTCTAGCCAGCCTGCGGTCTATCCCCGTGCCCATGACGTTCGTAAGTTCGCGGCTCTTGCTGCCGTCTTTGGGAATATGTCTTGGTCTGATATTCGGGCGCGGGGATTTTGGCGGTCGAACAGGGTCCTGGCTGCTCGTTACCTTGTGAATGTCCCTGGCCCTCGTCGGGCCTGTGTTGCTTTGGGTCGGCGGTTGCAGCCAGTTGTCTCGGCTTCGAGTTGAGGGGTGAGCGACGACCGCCTCCCGGGTAAGTCCCTCTTTTTCTGTCTGTGGGTAGTTAGCTCCGGGGAGCCGACGGGGCTCCCCCCAGAAAACCAGCGTTGAATGTAATGAAACGCCATTTTCTGGGTGAGTCCCGGAGGCTCCCCGGCATCCCTCCCTCCCTCCGGTCGGCGGTTTTTCGCGTTTTTGACATCCAGCCTCAAGAACTGAGGTGTGGGTAGCCGGCGCGGGGGGTCTGGGGCTCCCCCTTCCCCCTCCCGGGGAGGGGGGAGCTGCGCAGACAGCGGCGCGGCAGTGTGTGACGTCACACTAATTTGCTTGTTTTCGGTTGGGGAGTTCTATCCACTAGTTCGGTATTAGGTAGCAATTTTAACCAGAATAGGGGTTTGTTTTGGGGCGCTTACCTTTCTGGGTGCCTGTTCCGGTCGATGGCAGACATAGAATGCTTCCAACTACACGGGGGCTTCTATAGGCCATTGCTCCCCTTGCCTCTCTGAGGGGGCCCGGTTCTGGCCGTGGTCCCCGGTAGGCCTAAGAACTCCATACACATGACTGATGCCAAAGTCTGACATTAGCATATCAGCCTGGGATAGCTCCGGGGAGCCTCCGGGACTCACCCAGAAAATGGCGTTTCATTACATTCAACGCTGGTTTTTTGCGCTATCGGCATTCTGAAAAAAATCATACCCTATGTGATATCGGCGTTTTGCGCGCCTAAGCGGTAAGACCGAAAAGTGTATACTCTTTTGACTGTCCTGACGCTAATTGTAGGCGTACGTATTTACATTTGGTATCACTGTGTTCGCAATAGAATTGTCTATAAGAACATACCTATAAAATGACACCAAAGCATAAGGCATATCAACACCAAATAAAAAACTATTCAGATCACTTGCCGAGAGCGCCAAACAACAACAAAATGTTTCCACTCTCTTAATGGTTGTGAAGCCCACAGTTGTGCTACAGCGTTATTTTTGGTATCACTGAAATCGCAATAAAATTCTCTACACGGACATATGCATATAAATATAGATTCAATGTCGTAGCCCACCCAAAACAGTGTGGGAAGTGGCCGAAGTGTTACCTGCAGCGGCATATCGGTGAAACTCGCTTTGAAAAGTGTACCGTATATTCAATTCACTGTCCTGACATTATTTTTCGATGTATGTATTTCATTTTTGTTCCAATGTGTTCGCAATAGAATGTTCTATAAGAACATAAGTATTAAAGGTCACATAAGGATGCGTTCGACCGGCAACATATATAAAAACTACGTCGATTATACTCGTCGTGTCAATAATACAATTGTTTTACCACGATGATTCACTGCCACGCCGTTTTCTTTAATAAGCTGTTCGGCTATTAGAAAAAATGTAAATTTCATGGCAAACATTTGTAAACTATTCCCAAGTTCCCAAGGGGAGCCGGTCGGCCGAGCGGACAGCACGCTGGACTTGTGATCCTGTGGTCCTGGGTTCGATCCCAGTGTTACGGCCCTCTCGGGTCGCAACTGGGTTCTTACTCTGATGTTGTTAGAGGAAGGGTATCTGGCCCCAAGCCAGTAGTGGCTTTCAAGGGATGTGATCCGTAACGCAAGTAAATTAAAAGGGGAAGGGAAATAAAGTAAAAAACTTAATATAATATAATGATCACCGTCACCAATAAATATATATAAACGATTACACGGGGGGGGGGGTATAAACACTATAATACACTGTCGTCTTCTTCTGAAGACCCTGGATCCTCTCGGTGCCAAGCTCTCGGTGCTCTCGTGGCCTCACGACGAATCCTTCGAGAAGCTGAGTCTACCCCGGCCACAGGTCAGCCAAAACACAGTTCCACTGGGGGCACCGCCGTGGAGGCCGTCAACCACAAGTCCAGCAGATGGCTGGCAGGTTCCGAATCAGCAACGCTGGTTAGGCCACTCCACGAGCGATACTAGGGTAGCGCCCTAGTCAGGAGCCTCGTGTGATACCACAGATCACTCTCCTTTCCGCAATACCCCAGTGGTTAAGCGTCTCCACCAGTCAGTCCCGGGTATGACAATCCTTCAACTGCCGCTTCACAGGCAGGGTAACACCACAGTGTTCATCCGGGAGGCGACTCACAGCTGCTGCAGCAAAACACTTGGTGTCGAGACGGCTGCCTTGGGTAGACTGATCCAACTTCCATTACAGCAGTCCCAGGTCGACTCTGTAATCAGACACGTCATCAGTAACAGGGACACACAAAAGCACCTCACTTACAGGCTCAGACCCAAACGCCCACCTATCCACTCCATAGATGGCGTTGTCGTCTGAGCACCACCTCACCAGAGGTCAGCAGCGGCTGTGTTGTGAGCTGAACAGGACTGGAAACTGGCCCTCGTGGCCAGTACACCTCGTCCTCACCAGGTGTCGTCGTCCATTTGGAGGAGATTTCGGGAGCTGACCCACAGATGGCGTGGTCGTCACTGCTCCAGGCTCGGACGCTGGATCCGGGTCCGTAACACCCAGGCGCCGGCGAGAAACAATGGGCAGAGTTTCTTTCACCCTATGCCCCTGTTACCTAGCAGTAAACCGACCTGTGAGATTTATATTTATTTAATTTATATGAATTTATATTTACGTTAATTTATATACTTCGATAGCAATTTGTATAATGATAAGTGGACTGTATTTCTGCAATAATCTCTTAATCTCACAAATCGATCCTCTACACATTAGGGGGGTTTATGAAATTAATATATATGCAGCCAATCAAACTACATTAACTACATACATTGAAAAGGTTCCTTATCTTATAGTACAGCAGGTTAGTCCACCAGGTATAACTAGGGTGTAGACACCAAATTATCCTCTTTGAGGTAGCTTCCATATCACCCAGTAACTGGTGCACAAAATCTTGCATCCTCGTCTTGACCTGTCAAAAGTGCGCTAGCTGTGAAGCCAGAATCCTATATATGACAAGCTATATCAGAGAAAACACTATACAGTACATGGAACATTGAAGACCTGGCTTAATTACCTTTAGTATGAGGCGATTTCGCGTTCTAACCGGCTAACCCTACCCAATGAAAATAGGTACCTGGGTGTTAGTCAGCTGTCACGGGCTGCTTCCTGGGGGTGGAGGCCTGGTCGAGGACCGGGCCGCGGGGACACTAAAGCCCCGAAATCATCTCAAGATGGTACACAACGCGACTTTGCTCTCAGTGCACCAGGTACAGATAAATTTTCACTTCCTGTTTCTTCATTCTGTGTGCTTGCAAATAACGCACTCATGTACACCCTTGGCTTTAGTACTTGTAGGTTGTATGTAGTCAAGCTTGTAAAGCATAAGGTAGTATTGAAAAGATTATAGGAAAAGATCAGTTTGTAAGGTAGTCTTGAAAAGATAGCTTTGTATGGTCCCACACAGGAAGAGATTCAGCTTGCCTCAAAGAGTGTCCGTCAATCAGAAAGAGATTCAGCTAGCCTCAAAGAGTGTCCGTCAGTCAGGAAGAGATTCAGGTATTCTTAAAAATATCTATGGAAAACACCACCATGGAAGCCGCTAACACTGTTCATCTATGCTACTTGTATCAGATGCATCATCACTAAATGCAGAAAATGATTAATCTATGTATTATCCAAATAAATTGGAGGTAGCATAGGATTGCAAGGGTGACGCTCAGAGCTACAACTGGATATGCTCGCTGTATCATCCTCATAGGTGCTGTATCACTTGCATCCGACCTTTGTGTTTACTAGTTGTTTACTAGTTGTGTTTTGCGGGGGTTGAGCTTTTGCTCTTTCGGCCCGCCTCTCAACTGTCAATCAACTGTTTACTAACTTACCACTGTTTACTGATTGACAGTTGAGAGGCGGGCCAAAAGAGCAAAAGCTCAACCCCCGCAAAACACAACTAGTAAACAACTAGTAAACACAAAGGTCGGATGCATTTACTCGACTCGTCAGATCATCATTTTCATAACTCGCTCGATAATCTTTACTCACTGTAGGGACGAGTAAAGGCCAGAAAATTTTATCAAAAGCTCTGGAGTCTACTAAGTTAACCTTAATTTCTAGTCATTTTGCCCTATCACTCCCTATCTTGTTATCCTATCTGTGTTCCTGAATATACCACAGATCTCATTATCATTTTAATTGTTGTAATCTCTTTCTCCATCAGCTACAACTCACGAACTCGGGTTTTCCTTTTTTGCTGCATTAATTTTCTTTACATTTATTCAGTGCAATCTTTTATATTTAATAAACTAATTTTTACCTGTTGATTACCTGTTACTGTTGAGTGTTGAGAGCTCTACTCCTGCAACCTAAGGTGAGCCTTGCCTGGTGATTCCCTCGTCTGTGAGACTGATTGATGACTTGTTTGTTGATGACACTGTTTTGACTTGTTAGGTGGCCCACGTAGCCACTGCAGCCAGGCTGATCCGGTAACCTGTAGTCCCTGGTGGTGGTGTAGTGGTAATGTAGTGTCCCCACCAGCAATTTGGTCTGTGTTTGAATCCTGGTCGGGGAGTATTGACTGGCTACCAATCCTTACCTGTTGCCCAGGAAAGTAGTAGGGCACAACTCACCGTGAGCTTTGGGAACGGAAAGCTCTCATCCTGCTAGCAGGAGTCAGGAGTTGTCTGGTCATGTACCCTTCTGTAGTACAAAAAATATATATATATATTCTTAAAAATTAATTTATTTTATTCCAGAGTGAAAATGATGACTAAGTTCTGCTGCATGCCCAACTGTGACAGCTGTTCCAGAACAGCCAGGCTCTTCAGATTCCCGAAACAGCCAAAAATGGCACTGAAATGGAGACAAATTATAGTCCAGGATAAAATTAAATCTTTTTACATCACCAAGAATAAATTTGTGTGCGAGCACCACTTCAGGGACACGGATTTTAGGCCGCTTGAACCTGGAAATTTATTTAGGGCACTCAAGCCACATGCTGTGCCTAAAATCTCTAGGAAGTCTCAACTTAAAAAGAAGACATTCAGTACTCCATTTGACACAGATGAGGTATGTAAACTATGGCCCATATAGTACTTTGTAAACTATGGCCCATATAGCACCGTGTGTAAACTATGGTCCATATAGCACCGTGTATGTAAACTATGGCCCATATAGCACCGTGTGTAAACTATGGCCCATATAGCACCGTGTGTAAACTATGGCCCATATAGCACCGTGTGTAAACTATGGCCCATATAGTACTCTGTGTGTAAACTATGGCCCATATAGCACCGTGTATGTAAACTATGGCCCATATAGCACCGTGTGTAAACTATGGCCCATATAGCTCTGTTTATCCATAGCCATTGGGACCAGGTTTTTTGTGTCATTACACAATTGGTATTAGTGTTTGTATGTAACTGGATTCTCTCCCGAATTGAGAACAATTCTAACTTTTGTTGTGTTTGTTATTAGATTTTGTAGCAAATGATGAAAACTTCCAACTGATTTTCTTCCATTTTGTGGAGGGAGCCCCTTTGGCTCCCCGGAGTTATCCAGGGTGATATGAATGTATTAGACTGTGGCATCAGTCAAGTCCAATGGAGTTCTTAGGCCTACTGGGGACCACGAGCCACAACCTGGCCTTCTCAGAGAGGCATGAGGAGCAATGGCCTATAGAAATCCCTGTGTGGTTGGTAGCATTCTATGTCTGCCATTGACCAGGTCAGGCACCCAGAAAGGTAAGCGCCCTAAAACAAACTCTTATCTGGTTAACAATTTTGCTTCAGAAAGCCGAACTGTTGAACAGAACTCCCCAAACTACAAACGAGCATGACGTCATGCTTTTCATGTGTGTTTCATGCACCTGTTTGTCTCTAGGTAGGAGGTAGTTTTGTCGCTGGTAGGGGTTAAAGTTAAAAGCTAAAGTTACAGTTAAAAGCTCTGTACCTCAGGTACAGTCCTTGCACCATTGCTTTTTCTTATTCTCATATCAGATATAGACAAAAATACAGGTCACAGCTTAGTGTCATCCTTTGCAGATGACACAAAAATCGGCATGAAAATTACCTCTGCTGAAGACATTGAAAAACTACAATCAGATATTAAAAAGTTTTCGATTGGGCAGCAGAAAATAACATAATGTTTAACAGTGATAAATTCCAGGTACTCAGGCACAGCAAAAATGAGGATCTGAAACATAATACAGGGTACAAAACACAATCGAATCTGCCCATAGTAGGAAAACAGCATGTCAAGGATTTGGAAATAATGATGTCAGACAACCTAATGTTTAGGGAGCATGACCAAGCAAATATTGCTTCAGCCAAAAAAAATGATAGGATGGAGTACAAGAACTTTCAAATCCAGAGATCCCATCACAATGGTTGTACTTTTCAAATCACTTGTACTGTCCCATCTTGAGTACTGCTCAGTACTCACTTCCCCCTTCAGAGCAGGGGAGATTGCTGAAATAGAGGAAATACAGAGAACATATACGGCACGCATAGACGCGATAAAGCACCTAAATTTTTGGAACTGTCTCAAAGCTCTCCAAATGTACTCACTAGAAAGGAGACAAGAGAGATAACAAATAATATACACATGGAAAATACTGGAGGGCCAGGTCCCAAATCTGCACAGTAAAATAACAAAGTACTGGAGTGAACGATATGGAAGAAAATGCAGAATAGAACCAGTGAAGAGCAGAGGTGCCATAGGCACAATCAGAGAACATTCTATAAACATGGAATGTTAAATGGAATGCACTAGGAAGTGATGTGGTGGAGGCTGACTTCATACACAGTTTCAAATGTAGATATGATAGAGCCCAGTAGGCTCAGGAATCTGTACACCAGTTGATTGACAGTTGAGAGGCGGGACCAAAGAGACAAAGTTCAACCCCCGCAAGCACAACTTGGTAAGTACAAGGGTTTCTATAGGCCATTGCTCCTCATGCCTCTGAGGGGCCAAGGTTCTGGCTCATGGTCCCTGGTAGGCCTAAGAACTCCATTCACTTTGATGCCACAGTCTAATACATTCATTTCGGCCTGGATAGCTCCGGGGGAGCCTCCGGGTCTCAACCAGAAAATGGAGTTTCATTACATTTAATTTTTTTGTGAACTGATGCTTTATTAAACTTAAATTTCATTGTGGTTTTGTGCTATAGGTGACCTTATTAATACATTTTAAGGTTGCATTTATTAGAAGAGGTTATCAATCAAGGCTCCCATTTTATAGTTTCATGAACCATTCCAGGTGGTAGAGAGAACAGGGCAAGGAATGGGAAGCTCCTCTACGAGCCAATCACTACCTTCCACGAGCCAACTACTACCTTCCACGAGCCAATCACTACCTTCCACGAGCCAATCACTACCCTCCCCGAGCCAATCACTACCTTCCACGAGCCAATCACTACCTTCCACAAGTCAACGTTATGTGAGTCACCATCTCTTCTTTGAGCCATCTGCTACCTTTCGTGAGTTACCCATGTAATTTCACGTGCGACCCTCTTCCTTGCTTGAGCAATCTGCTTCCATGGCCACTAAATGTTGATGTTGCTAATCGAGTAAATAAAGGCTCATCATATGTTGTCGTAAGAACTGCACATTAATCTCCTTATCAGGATTGGGAAGCATAATCTCTTGGCAATACTTTTACGTTGAATACAGTACACCCCCACTCTCTCCCACACACTAGAAGGTGAGGGGACGACGACGTTTCGGTCCGTCCTGGACCATTCTCAAGTCGATTGCGATGAGGGATTGTTGTTGTTGTCTCAGATTTAGCTACTCAGAACGAAGTGTCCATGTAGCACGGGCTATTGTGAGCCCGTAATTGAGTTAGTTGTGATGAGGGAGTTGAAGCCGGCAATAAATAGGCAAGAGAGAGGTGAGGAACAAGGCAAAAGGTACGAACGGTAAGGTGTAGTAGAGGGGATAGTAGTAGGAATAAGAACTGCAGAAGGCCCATTGGCCCATATGAGGCAGCTCCTATTATAACCACCGAATGAGAAGGGGATAGTAAAAGGAATAAGAAGAGGATAGCAAGGGAACGTAACGTTCCTTTGCTCTCCTCTTCTTATTCCTACTACTATCCCCTCTACTACACCTTACCATTCGTACCTTTTGCCTTGTTCCTCACCTCTCTCTTGCCTATTTATTGCCGGCTTCAACTCCCTCATCCCAACTAACTCAATTACGGGCTCACAATAGCCCGTGCTACATGGACACTTCGTTCTGAGTAGCTAAATCTGAGACAACAACAACAATCCCTCATCGCAATCGACTTGAGAATGGTCCAGGACGGACCGAAACGTCATTGTCCCTTCTCGTAACGTGTGGTCTGGTCAAACAAATATTTATCTGTAGTTATATTAAACGTTGAAAAAATATCGGTGATGATTAATTAGATTCTTGAAATCGGTTTTGATGAAATCAATAGGTTTTTACCTTACACCTAAAACAGATCTAGATTTGGTAAAATATAAATTTGATTGAGGTACTTACTTGTTTTTTATTTTTTCTTATCCCCAGAATGAATCGAGAAAACCTCCATATGTCTACTGGCAGCTGTGTGTTCAGGCAATTGCTAATGCCCCGAACAAACAAAGGACTGCGAGGGGTATACATGATTACATCATGAAGCACTACCCGTACTTCATAAAAAATAATAATTTCCTGAGGGTAATGAAATAATTGTTGTGTACAGTGTTTGCCCTTGATAGCTTCCAGGTATATTCCCAGAGGGCATTACTGGTTGAAAGTGACCGACGTTACATACTGTTTACTGTCTGTCGCTTTCGCATACTGTCTGTCGCTTTCAGCCAACGGTGCCCATTGGGTTAGCTGTGGTACCATAGAAATGACTGCAAAACTACCAGGTTTCTGAACTTATGCAGGCCTGTCAAAACAGGACCAGAATCTGGTGTGCTCATAGAGGTGAGGGGGATCATGAAGACCTGAGATCAACCTCAGTGGCCGAAATGGTTTGGCATGTTTCCTGTCACCTCGTACCCCTGTTCACCCTAGCATTAAATAGGTACCCTGGGAGTTAGGCAACTGTTGTGGGGTTGGTTTCTGGGGAAGGTCAATATTTCAGACTCGGGGATTACCTTGATATAAGCCTAAAGAGAGTGTGGGGGAGTGTGAGAGTGTGGGGGAGTGTGAGAAAGGGGGGGGGAGTGTGAGAGAAGGGGGCAGTGTGAGAGAGTGTGGGGGAGTGTGTGAGAGAGAGTGTGTGAGAGTGTGGCGGAGTGTGAGAGAGTGTGGAGGAGTGTGAGAGAGAGTGTGGGGGAGTGTGAGAAAGGGGGGGGGGAGTGTGAGAGAAGGGGGCAGTGTGTGAGAGTGTGGGGAGTGTGTGAGAGAGTGTGGGGGAGTGTGAGAGTGTGGCGGAGTGTGAGAGAGAGTGGAGGAGTGTGAGAGAGAGTGTGAGAAAGGGGGAGGGGAGTGTGAGAGAAGGGGGGGGAGTGTGAGAAAGATGGTGGGGGAGAGTGTGAGGGGGGGGGGGGGGAGTTTTACGGCCACTATAGGTCGTAACCGGGTTCTTGATGGATGAACCTAAGTAATAGTATCTGACCCCAAGTTGGTAGTGGCTTTCAAGGAGTTGATTAGGTAATGCAATAAATAAAAAGGGGGGGGGGGATTAACACAACACTGATTCCTTTATCAATATATTCCCATCACCTTAAATAGAAACATAAAAATGAAATATTACTGCACGTAGATGTATTTACAAATGTTACTGTCACAAAGGACAATGGGCACTCCACAACGCTAACACAATGCAGCTTTCGTCAATCTTCGTGTTTCCCCAACACACAGTACTGGGAAACACTGGCGAGTCTACCTTTGCTGTGGGCCAGCCTGTCGGCAGTATCACGAGGTGCCTCTCTGCCCACAACCAATCTCCAGCCAAGTGCTGGCAAAGAACCTCAGCCACTCACTGATTGGGGCCACTACACAGACACATACAGGGGTATCGCACCCCCTGGCAGGAGCCTTTAGCGACGGGCTAGTAATGTTTCTCAACAGGCACCGCACTGTCGGTTGTCTCTCACCTTAGCCAGTCCCGAGATACGCCGAATTCTTCCACTGCTACTCCACTAGCAGAAACCACACTGTTCTTGGTCGGCGGCAGCTCACTTAATCATCAGGTGGGACTAAGTTGAGAGAGTTTAGGCTGCCCAAGGTAGACTGCCATCCTCAGTACCACTGCTGCCCCACATCACTTCTGTGGATACAGACATGTCATCAGTTATAGGGTATTGGAGAAACCAGGAAGCAACACTAACTCACTCGGGCATTGACATTGTGCTCTGTAGCACAATCTAGGTGGCGCTGGTCTTGATTCGCCACCTCACCAGAGGTCGCCCACAATGACCTCTCTGGCTGTCCAAGGCAGGAAACTGGAGCCATTTGCTGCTATCAGATTACTACCACCAGATGGTGCTGTTTGTATGGTGTCCGATAGCATGGGAGTTAGAGAGCAGACTCACAGATGGCACTGAAGTCACTACTCCCTGCTCCGATGAGGATGTCGGGTTCGTAATGGTTTGTGTGTGTTGGGGGGGGGGGGTGAGAGGGGGGAGTGTGTGAGAGGGGGTGTGTGTGTGAGAGAGGGGGGGAGTGTGTGAGAGGGGGGTGTGTGTGAGAGGGGGGTGTGTGTGAGAGGGGGGAGTGAGTGAGTTTAAATAATATAATGTACAAACTAGTGCATATTTACAGAAGAACCTTGGTACTCAAACAGTTCGGCATTCGAACGCTTTGTTCATACTTGATCAACCATTTGCTCGGCACTCAAATGTAAACACGTGTAACAGACAAGTCAGTTCCCAGTAGTGTTGTTCAGTGCACAACCCCTACTAAACATCCCTGTAAACTTTGTGTTTTCTTGGGTGTTGACCAGTTGGTCAACATCTTTGATATTTCTGTGGTGAGCCCCGGAAGCTCCGGGGAGCCTCTGGGATTCTCCCAGAAAATGGTGTTTCATTACATTCAATGCTGGTTTTTTATATTCTTAGCATAAATAAGTCACCATAGCACTTATGAAAGTCGGTGATAAGGGACAAATGAACAGAAAATTAGACCCACAATAGAAATGAAAAACAAACTTGTAGCAAAATATGAAAGTTGTGTTTGTGTGTCTGTACTTGCTGCCGAGTTTGGTATGCTTAACTCCAGTTCTCTAATAAAAGGAATGTGTGACAAATGGGGAAGTGCAATGTTTTCTTGAAAAATATCTCCCTGACAAAACTGTGGCAACCCATATTATCAACATGTTGAAAGACAATTCTATGTCTCCCTTTAGAAACATTTTCAGATGCCGGCAAAAACAGCCAATGGTGCCCACTCGGTTGGCTGTAATAACATAGAAACGACTGCAAAACTACCAGGCCTCTGAACTTGTGCAGACCTATCAAAACATGGCCAAAATCTGGTGAGGGGATCATAGATTAGAGGGGATCATAGGACAGGTTTCTTGTGAGAAAATCATTCAGTGAGTCTCAAGGGGAAATAGAAAAAGCCAGAAAAGAGAAAGAAGCCCAGAAAGTCTTATATGTGCAGGCTCTATTGTACAACTTAACCACGGCACTGCGCAAAGTGCCTTTAGGCGCTCAGAGAGTTGTGCTTTTTGTTTTTTAATTTGGCTATATTTTAATGTTTTTTAATGTTTTCATTACTATTTGTGTTTTGAAATGGAAATAGTTGACTTTGGAAACATTTTGACATTAAATTTACCTGAACATTTGTAAAAATAACAAAAATATGTCCTTGACAATTGCACCAAGACGTTTTTGCCGAAAATAGGTGAGCAGTGCAAGGGTTAATCCTTCTGAATACTTTATAGTAATTGTATCTGTAGCTTTTAAATATTTCTGGCATAACCCTTAGACTGTGCATATTACCGCAAATATAGGGGGGCATAATAGCAAAAAATATTTAAATTATGTAAAAATAACTTAAAATTGTTAAACAAATCTTTAATTTATTGGCTTCAGTGTTGTGAAACTTTCATCAAAATATTTTCAGAAATTGATTTTAGACAAATTTTTGAAAAATAAGAATGTTTTATTGATAAGGAGGACAGCTCCTAATAACTGGAACTGAAGGATTATGCAGTAATAGAGATGTCTGTACCTGTCCGACGCTCAAAGAAGAATTACAGTATTACAGTATTAAGAAGTGTCCACAAAGTGGATATGCAGTTGGTGCCTTTATATCATTGCCGAGTAATACATAATAACACAAAACATAATGAATAACTATGTTAATATGATCTATTTTGTTATATATCATATAAATACAGTGTCCAATGTTAATATGTTACTTTCATAAAATATTACAAAAATATTTTTTTTTTTAGGGAATTTTTTTTTTTTAAGATTTTAGTTTTTTCCTCCTTTGTTTATTATCTGATTTTGTTGTAACGTTTACATCCTGGAGAATGCACATGTTTTCATAACTATGTGAAGATAGAATGAAATTGGTCAACAAATAAGTCAGTCACAACTCGCACAACTTGGTACTTTTAATTTTTTTGGCCTAATTTTTTTTCTCTGATTTCAAACTCTATTTTCTTTGTCTCTTTAGGTTTTTTGATGATTAGGGACCATATTAGGGCTTATTTACTTATATATATAGTATACACCTAAATATATCCCCTAAATCATTATAATTATCCCTATATTTTGTGTTTTTTGGGGGGTAATTTTTTTTTACTTTATTTCAACACACATTGACCGACAACTTTCACATATTCGAGTATGAATGCCAAATAATGTTAATTAAAACATACAATTAAATTAACGAATTAAAACTACCTTTATTCATTGTTGATAACTTCAACTTCAATTATCTCTGAAACCAGAGTTTCAACTTTGAGTGGCTTCTAAAATTCCAGTTATTAACCAATTCTCACTATTTTGATATATTGTGTGCTCGGTTGTCTGTTCTACAATCCCACCAGAATGGATTTTTCATAAACTTTATACATTTGGAGTTATATATTTTTTGGTCTAAATTTGCCGCATACTTCAAATGCCCTATTGACTATTTTTCTGTGGGGAGCCCCTACAGCTTCCCCTGGAGCTTATCGGGATAATGTATGTTATATTAGACTGGAACATTAGCTATGGAGTTCAGACCTACCAGGGACCCTTCAGAGAGGTTTCAGGGAGCGATGGCCCTGGAAAACCCCCCTTGTGGTTGGGTTTTTCCTTATCTGCCATCGACCAGGGTTAGGCACCCAGAAAGGTAGGCATAACAAAACAAACCCCACATGGTAAGAAACTAAAACAAAAAACGAACAAAGGTAGAAACTCCCTACAATCCAAAGGAAACAAGCAAACAAGCAATTATCACAATTTACTGCCGTGCCGGTCGTCCGCGCAGCCCTCCCCACCCCGAGAGGGGGAGGGGGGCCCCGAACCTCACTGCACTGGGAGGAGTCGACCTGGGGGTCTGGGGCCCCCTTTGACCCTGCTTGCGTGCTTTTGCCTTCCTCGCAGGGTTTATTGTTGCAGGGTGAGGAGTTTTCTTACCCCCCCCCCCCCCCCCCTTCCCTGTATGAGTATGATTTGGGTTCGGCTCCTCCCTGGGTTCAGTTCCGGGCTCCTTTGGGTACCTCAGCTCCATCTTTCCAGAGTTTTTCTACTTCCCGTATCTCAGCGAAGGAGGCTCGGGAG